AGCAGCTGCTCATTATAAGAACAGAATTTTTTTTTGCCAGTCTATGTAACTTCAAATCAATGCACACATTGGAAGCAGATTGGCATTTCTTTGGCAACATCTCATGGCAAAGGTCCCTGTGATGCTATTGGTGGAACTTTAAAACGAATGGCAAAAAGAGCAAGCCTTGCCCAAGAATACGGAAATACTATTACAACCCCACGAGAGCTCTACGACTGGGCAGTTAAACAAACAGAGAAAAGCATCACAAAATTGAATTTCTTTTATATATCTACTGAGCAATACGAAAAAATGTCAGAAGAACTAGAAGATTTGTTTCACCATGCACAGACGATATCTGGACACAAAAATTTCACAGTTTTCAGCCTATTGCCGATAATCAAGTTGCAACTAAAAAATATTCTAATTCAACGGAGTATCCAATATGTTTGACAATGTTAAAAAATAATATATATTTAAGTTATTCTCTAAATAAAATAAAATAAAAATTTATGAAATTAGAACACTATTTTTTCATACTCTGCCAATTAAACATAACATTAAAATTAAATTTTCTATATCATTCACATTAGGATTGATTACGTCTTCAATGTCTTTTTTGTTGTACCTTTCATTTGGAGCTTGTTGAGTGAAATCCGGTTGAGTGGTAGGTTTCACATAAGTCTCAACATTTCAATATTTTTCATGTCTGCACTAAAAAAAAATCATTGATTTTATTCAGTACGAACACGAAAAAGTTTTTGTTAAATAACTTTTTTTTTCTTTAAAAGTGCCCATCTTGAGATATATGAACGAGTTATAGATAAATGGTCTGCCTATCTGTAGGAAAAATTACCGATTAAAAAAAATATTTTTGCGAAATCCTTATTTTAAATTTTAAACATTTTTTTCTTCAGTGTAGCAATAAAATTTTTAATGTTTTGGTATTTTATGATCTAAAAATCATTTTTGGCAACATTTTTGCAGGACATTATTGAGTTATAATTTTTTGAAAAAAGAATTAGTAAAAAAAAGTCTCACCCTTTTTAAATGTTGGTCTAGGTTTAAAAAAAAACAAGTATGCAAAGTTGCTTAAGTAGACAAAATCTACACAACCACAAAGTTTCATTGAAATCTGAGAGGGTGCTGCCAATTCCTTTGTCGAGTTAGCGTGAAATTCGTCGTATGTTTTCTTTTTTAAATGCTAACATTTCTGAAATTGACATACTGGAAAATGACCAAAATCTTAAAACATCCACAAGTATTGCACCATTTTTTTCATATATTTTTTTTGTATTATTTATGTTGAAAACATATCTTTTATTAGAGAAAAATGTTTCCTAAACACAAATCATATAAATGTTGCGTGAGAATATGCGTGAGAAATATTTTTCAGTGTGTATTTTTTTTTTGATAAGGCAATCCAGTTTACTAAAACATTATCTCAGTTGTCATTTTGATTAGATAAACCGTTTTTTTAGCAATGATTTATTAAAAAATTCTTTGGTCCTGTTTTGAAAAATTTGGCGTTAGTCAAAATTTTGTTTATTTTTTCTCTATTTAACCGAGGACTGTTACAATTTGGTTTTATTTTCTTTTGTGTTTATTATAGAGACTTTCAGCCGGAGGCTGGTTCATACCTTACTTCATAAATTTATTTTACGCATTATTTATATCTACTCCTCACAATTCACTTAACCTGTCTCTCTCCACACATCTCACCCCTCATAAATCTCTTCTTATATTTGTTGAAAGTTTACTGATCACATCTAATTGCGCAATTTCACCTCATTTATTAACCACCTCACATTTTTTTCCTTGCATCTCATTCTCATATTCCATTCTTCACTTACTCACATTTCACATCACAGCACAGTATTCATTCATTCATTCAGTACTCGCATACTTCAATTCTCGCACATTGTTCTACTCACATAATCCATCTATCTTCTCACTTTTTACTCACATTGCATTTCTTACGACTCTTACATAACATCTTACTTTTCAATCTCACATAATTTCATTAATTTCTCGTTTTCTCATTCTTTCTTCATTTCTCTCTTCATTTCTCTACTTTCATCAAAAGGAACGCAATACACAGTACCACTGCATTGGAGTTAAAATACAAGCAAAAGTACTTGAGGTAATTAAAACATTTTTTAAAGTTCAACCAATTCTTCACAACTTGGTATTATATAGGTTAATTGCATAATTTTCTTGTGTGAAGGAGACCATTTTAGCCGACTTGGTACATTGACCATCCGTGTCACAAGCTCGCTGTTCGTGATGGCCGATGCCAGATACCTACCCATAGCTCTAGTTTCCCTCTGGTGGCGGCGAACCAGAAATCGACATTTTCTATTATTCGATGGATTTAGTTGCCCCTTGACTTCTATGACTTCTTTGGTCTATGTTATGGGTAGCGTTAATTGGATTCCATAATTTCAGGGCTGTGAAGTCGGGCCTGAGTTGGTGGCAGAACTATTGCATGTTGTAATTCTTATTTTTAAAGCAAATGAATTTCAAATCTATGATAACTGTTGAACATATTGAGCACCCTGGTTTCGACACTTAAAAACATGTGAGTGGCAAAAAGCATACGTCAAGTCCTTGTCGGGTTCTCCCAAAATATGTTTATTGTTTGGAAACTTCGAACGGCTGCACTGATTGGCCAAAGTACGTCCCTTCACAACCCAAAGTTCCTATGCAGGGATCTTAAAAACTTCTTCTACATATTCCAGAATTACCCCAAGTACCATCTCTTATGACCTTCTCTCAGTGGATGATCAGGGCTCTAGCTCAGAGGTTGGCGCTTTCTAAGTCCTAGCCAGGAAGCGATCCAGAAATGTCACGCAAAAGCCTAGTGAAGCTTGTCGTATTGAACTTCAAGCCACCTTGGGAAAAATAAAGATCTAACGGTGATTTTTGACGTAGGACCACGTCTGTGATCTCTATATAGGGGTACACTTTGTGAAAACCGAAAATGGAATATGTAACAAAATTAAGAAAGATTTTGAACGTTAATAACTCAGCTGCCCCTGAGCCAATTTCAGTAATTTTATCACCAATCGATCCGAAATATGTCTACGCATCTTTTAATTTTAACATTTTATCATTTTTCAAAAGTTCACTATTGAAAATTGTACGAATGTGTAACTGTTCCTAAGATAATTAAAATCAACACCGATTGCCTGCAAAAATCGATTTCCCTAACACAGATTTCAAAGTTGAATTCTATCCGATCTCACCAAGTGGTGTTTTTTCAATCACCGCGTGGTGAGTGGTGGTGTTCTTTAGTATACAACGAAAGGCTCCCCACCAGCAGCTTGCTATCAAGGCTACCCTCAACCGCTTATAGGATTCAGTTCCAATAATCACAGTATGTGGTGGTGTCCGGTCGTTGGCATCATCATCAGCAGCAGAAGCAATGCATACGCATCCATAGAAGTAGGAAGAAGCCGCACCGTTTTTGATCGGAATCAGTAGCTCTTCGTGAGTCTATGTCAAGCGCGTCATACTAAAGAGAATAAACAGAGAGAACCCTGCTCAAATTCCTATTCTTATAAGAAACACAAGCTCCTGCTGCAGCTAACCATTAAGATTTATTATATAAGACCACGTAGTCCTACGTCACCATTGCGTACAACCCCATAGGGCTGTCCCTTGTAGTTTTTGATAACCCCTCCGCCGTTTTGATTTTGAGAATGTCTTTCTGCTAGTTTTACTGCCAGAATAACATTCCACACTCACGTTCTCTGGAATCAATTATTTTTTTTTTGATGGATCATTTTCCATAAGAAATCAAGGACATGATTTATGTCCTGCAGTGAAAATGAAGTAGCCTTATACCTAAAGTCGACGTATTTAAATTTTCACCTCACAACTTACATGTAAATTCATTTGCTCTCTTTGAAACGTAGTTTTCTCCTGACATCGATCATTCTTTAATCGTGAACGGAAACTTGATCGTAATTGTTTTGTAATATAAGGAGCTCGGTGGCATAGTTGTGACCGATTTTGCTTACTGAACAGAAGACCGTGGATCAAACCCAAGCTCCCTCGCGCTCCTCCTCCCAATCGTTAGGACATCAATTCAGCATATCGTTCACGAAAACTAATCATACTGCAATCCACACCCTTTTATCCAACATTCCAGTTATTTCTCGGGGAAGTGCAGAGGTGTTCTTGGCTTTCATTAAAGCGAGTATTACGTCAACATATTTATACCTATTCTTTTTTTGACCAGCATTAGGACGTGGCCAGCCGATATTGCGATCCAATAGGTAGTTTGCACATATCTGCGCAATTTAAAACCAATTTTATTGAACTTTGGAGATGTTCTTCTATCGAAAACCTAATAATGATTATTTTTATTAACACTATTTATCGCTGAGAGTTACTCGGGGAAAATCGCCAACTTACACTATTCATTCTCCAGCGAGAACTGGAGTTGTTGAATTTTGAAACATTTTTGAATTTTTATCCCCAGTGTATGCATATTGTCATGCACTCTACACTGGGGTTCTGGTGGTAAATGAAAAACATCGGATCCCCACTATTTTAAATAAAAATCGACATATGTCTCTCATAAAATACAGCCACACCACTTAAGTAGAAAATTTGCTATAGGAAATAATGATTTGATGAATGTGTAGTCTAGATGGCGGATGTTTACTAGGATTACATTATCCCCAAGATACAGATAAAGGAAAAATCCAACACATTTATGATTGGCATTTATATTACTCGACTTTCGATAAACCGATGATGTGGTATTAAAGGTCATCCACACGTCAACAGAACGCAACGTGACACTTATTAATCAGGAATAGATTTAAAAGCTAACAAAGACATCAGGCACTCTATATGATACATTCTATGCATGCAAATTAATCTTACTTCACTCTCAATCCTGTGGAGGAACGCTTTGCTGCCTTATATTTTAACGTAACTCCCAATCGAAACCTGTTCGTTGAAATGTTGTAACTCATGATCGATGTTTCATTTCTGCCTCCTTTCAGATACGACAACTTGGACATCGATACAATTCTTGGCAGCAGCCGGTTGGTCAACAATTACGTAGACTGTTTGCTCAGTCGAAAACCATGCCCACCGGAGGGAAAGGATTTGAAACGTAAGTATTCAAAGTATTTGCAGTGCTCGTCAAGTGCAATTGAAATGCATCGGTTTGAAAGCCTTGCAGTCACTTTTATTTTTGTCAAAATGAGCATCGTTCGCATTCATTGATAATCTCACCCGTAAGGCATCCGTTGTCACCGTGAATCGTTTAGCGAGACAAAGCGACAACGGTTAAGTGATTGGATCTTTCTCACGGCTCATGACCGGTGCCAGCAGTCGTGAATAATTGCGACCACTTAACCTCTCGATGAAGTCATGCGTATAGGGTGCAATAGCAACAACAACAACAACAACAGTGTGAACCTACCTTGAGGTGTAACAAACACATGATTGCTAATTACAGCGTTTAAAATTTTAAGTTAATTATGAATGATCAATCAGAAAGATTCAGCATAAAATAGTTGCGCACTAACAAGACAAAGAACAAGAATCAACTACTTCACGAAATTGGAACCACCTGTGTAGCTTGAAGGTATCGTTAACCCCAATTAAAAAAAATGGAATACCGCCAGAACGATCAAGTGGGATTCCCCGATGATGAATCCAATTGACTGTTCAAACGGGCGGGCAGTTAAGTGCCTCGAGATGCCGTTTCATTATTTCTAGAAGTTCGTTTTGTTAACAAACAAAACACACACCCTCAATCGACATGTGAAGTGGGTATGGGTTCTGGCACGGGGTTTTATTGTTACCTACACGATTAGCCCATGCCCCAAGAAGTTCTGCGTGCCGGCATGATGCTCTCAGTTCTTTGGGGTTACCGAAAGAGTTCAGTGGAACGCGCAATGTGTGTGTGTGTGTTACGAGTACCTATCTACCGGCTACTTATGGCTGATTTGATAATGAAGGTGAATTTATGTGTTTGATTGCTTGTTTACTTACCAGCGATGGATTGCCTTTTGGGGGTGAGGTGCGTGCGTGCGTGGCTTGTGCTGGGGGAGTAAATACATGAAGGTGGCACACTTCCACCCGAGCACGCAGCTAGAGGCAGATGTTTGAGTTGGTGGTGGAAAGGTAGGCGGATGGGGAAGTGATGCGAAACTATGGAAGCGTGAAAAATGGTTTAGTTGGTTTTGGAATCCGGCTGAGTAAATGCGGAAATTGGACCAAGGTTGGAAAATTTGAATTATAGATTTTTTACAGACATGGTAAGAAACAGTGACACGGGTAAAGGGTACATGACGAATGAGAATAACTCAGAGCGAGAGTCATTTTTAATCAGTTGTCTGAGATATTTATAAAGACTGCACTTACACTTATACGAGATGGACTAGCCTACGGCAAAAAAATCTCAAAAAGAACGTTAAAAAAGACTGCACTTACTCAACGCTGACTTCCTGCAGTTTTTAGAAGTTTCTCCATACTTTTGAGCAGAAGTGGCTCTCGCTCTGAGTTATTCTCATTCGCGTACCAAACGCAGAATTAACTTGTTAAAGCCGAAAACATGGATTTATTTGATGATTTCTGCTGGATAGGCCTAAAATGGGCTATTTGCCCGATGTAGTCCTGTCCATATTTAATAACCAATCTTCAATTCCCACATTTACTTCAAGCCGCTCGAGAAGGGATCCCTTAGATGGAGAAGCACCGATCTACTAGATCAACCACAACAGGCGGGATCATATTTGTAGTAGCGAAACATGCCCTAGCAGATTCATGGAGGCTATAGACATTATTTAGAGTAAAGGGCGTAGCCAGGTTTCGGAATAGGGGACGGAGGCATATTTTTTATAGTGGACGGTTTGGTCAGAACGCCATTAGGCTGAACACATTAATGCCGAACGTGATAATTGTCACTAGGTCAAATAAGTTTTTTGACCGAAATTGAAACTTTCAGATACGAGATATGAGTATTTTTCAAGTTTGCGTCAGCAAACGCCGGTTAGCATTTTTTCCTGTCTTTTAGAGGGTTTATTAAAACCTTCTCGGTTGAGTGATGTATATTTAAATCTATCTATAAAATCTATAAATCTATATATATAAAAATGAATTTCTGTCTGTCTGTCTGTCTGACCCTTATAGACTCGGAAACTACTGAACCGATTGGCGTGAAAATTTGTATGCAGGGTTTTTTGAGGCAGGGAAAGGTTCTTATGATAGTTCGAGACCTCTCCCTCCACTCCCGCTCCCATATAAATAAAACATAAATTTCTGCATAACTCGAGAACTAATCAAGCACATGGAACCAAATTTGGCATGTGGTGGTGATAGGGGGTAGGGAGTAACACCTTAGATAAGAGAGGGGGGGGGAACTACGTACAATATACCATGTTTTTTAATTGGCGCATAAACTCAACACTAAACACATTTTTTCGTTAATAGGTTATAGGTTTCGTACATTACACAATTTATTCGTTAATTATGCGAAACATTCGTATTGCACGTCGTCAGGTTCAATGCCAACTTTAAGAATAATTCGTAAGATACAAGAGCTGAATTTCGTAAGGATGTAAACATTGGCTGTGAAAATTATTCTTGCATTCGCGAAAACTACGGAACCATTCGTTTACCTACGAAAATGTTTTGTCCATAGTATATATTGCACGCGCATTCTTTGTGTATATTACGAAACCTTTCTTTATTGCACTAATTGAATAGTCTTGAGGTTTGAATGTTTATATGCAATCACGCCCAGAAGTAAAACAATAATTTGTGTTGCAACCTGTAACAGAGTTATGTGCGGTTTTAAAACCCGATCGATTTTGGAATAGGCATAATTAAATGCAAGCAAAAGCAACATTTGATCGAGCTAACCATCACGATCAATATGACTATTTTGCTACTGATGTGATCAAGGTCCAACTCCAAATCTACAAATGGGGTGAGTAGTTGACTATCTTTTTGCAGTTTATGTTGGAACTAATCATTTCTTTCTATTTGATTGACAGCCTGATGATTGTTCCCAGGCGAAAAAAGCGGCCAATCCTCTCAAATAAAGTAACTGGAGCACTTTGTAAGGCGGAAAGCCTCGGACCGACTTTATCCTAAAGCAGATTGAAGCTACCTTGGAACTTGCTGCGTTGTACAGCAACTCCTGATGCTGAGTGCTCCACTCATGAAAATGAACATGGACATGCTACGATAGCACTGCAAGAGATGTTCAATTTTTATTTTGCGCAACTATTTGCAGCTTTCTAGTGCATGAGAGTTATTAATTAGTGAATATTTTGAATTTTTCTTGAGCGTTCCTGAGTGAAAAATGGCAAATAAAGATTTTTTAAATTGTCCTTTAAAAAAAGAGAATTTTATTTTATAAACAAAATTTCATTTCCTAGGTAGGGGAATTTACGTATTCTCGGCAACCTAAGCAGCGACCTTCTTTCTATAGCCTTTTTCTCTATGGAACGCACACATATGCAGTATTGGTTTGTTTACAATCTTTTGCTGCCAGCTGCTCTAACAATTTCAGTCGAAAGAATTGTCAAAAACTGTTTTGAAACGCTTTTACAAAGCTCCAATCTTCTCTAGTGAGAGCGAGTATTGTCGGCAACCAGTTTTTCTTCGGCAACCGTTCCATTTGAACTGCATGTAAATCTACTGTTCTATTATCGGCAACTCGAAATCTGCTACAATTTGTAGTGCGTGTGTTGCATTTCAAGAAAACCTTGCTAGATTGCTATTTCTCAGTGGTAAAAGTATAGTCAAATTGAAGCTGAAAGCATAAAGAACCGTTTGCATGCATTCAGCGAAGTGTTTTCGTAAGAAAATACAGTGAAAATAGTGTTTCAATTTGTGTTGCCGAAAATAGTCTGGCATGCCGAAGCCGTCATTTCCCTTATTACTTTTCGCAAAATGTAAGCATTTTGATTCGTGGGTATACGAAAGAATCGTACGATTCTTATCTATAGATTTTTTTTCAAACGAATATTACGTATTTATGTTATGAAACGTTCCTTCCTAATTCTAAACTTTTGATTGAAGCGAATTTGTAAGATAAGAAGAAAATATAAGAGAAGCAAGATCCGTGCACTGCATTTGTCGTGAAACGGTTTTTCTTCAACGAAACGGTGTTGAATATTGACGAAAATTCGTTAAGCGCAGGGAGGAAGCCATACAAGCAGCTCTATGCATCACCGCAAGCAATTGGGAATCCCTCTTCACCATGGCTATTTGGATTACAGAAATGGTTTTGCATTTGGTAGATGAATTTTAATCCAGCTTACAAATCCCGAGAAAGCGGGCTAATTACAGATCATTCAGGTGAGACGCTTCATTTTTATTTGTTTTCATTATATTTCAATCAGTATTTGTAAAAAAAATTACCAAAAAAGGTTTTAAATTTAAATTGACGAGCTCGGCTAGTTTGATGGCTGCCACTTTTGCTAACTGAGTAGAAGATCGTGGGTTTACTCCGAAGCTTCTAAAAAAAAAACAAAAAAATTACTAAAGGGCGAACACGAAATTATTGCGACACCGAAAATGTCATGCCAATTTTCTTATAATGTTTAGAATCAAACCAAAATTTTAGGGTAGTTTTATACATATATTTACTTCAAAAATCAAAAGAAAAGTTAATCGATGGAGCCTTGAGTGTAAAATTGAACGCATTTTCGCTTCATGCCCTCCATTAAAGTCTTTACAGTGTCATCCGGTACCAGTTTCTCAGTTTTTTTTTCCATTTTCTTAACATGTCCTTCTCGTCTTTGACTGTCTTCTTGCTCTTCCGAAGTTCCCGCTTCATTATTGCCCAGTACTGCTCCACCGGGTGCAGCTCCGGACAGTTTGGCGGATTCATGTCCTTTGGAACAAAATGGACAGAATTGGCCTCATACCACTCCAGGACACTTTTAGAATAGTGGGATGATGCCAAATCTGGCCAAAATAGCGGAGCTTCGTCGTGCTGCTGGAAGAACGGCAAAAGGCGCTTCTCGAGGCACTCAGATTTGTAGATCTCGCCATTTACTGTGCCCTTTGTCACGAAAGGCTCACTCCTCAGTCCGCAAGAGCAGATGGCCTGCCAAATGAGATATTTGGAGGCGAACTTCGACATTTTCT